TGCCCCCCCCCTGCCAACAGGGGGTGCCGAAAGTTGAAGCCAGGGGAGCTGTGGGGGGGGGGCGGGGGGTCAGTGACCCCCAAAAATCCCAAAAATTGCCCCAAAGAAAACCCCAAAATCCCTCCCAAAACCCCAACATCTCCCTCAAAAAAAAAAACCACAAAAAAACCAAAATCCTTCCCACAAAAAAAGCCCAAAATCCCTCCCACAAAAAAACCCAACCCAAAATCCCCCCAAAAAACCCCAAAATCCCCCAAAATTCTCACCTGCTTTTGGGGTTCGGAGCATCACCAGTAGCCGGAGATTCTGGGCGGGGAGGGGAAATTTTGGAAGGTACCCCCCCCAAAATTTGGGGTCCCCCACCAGACCCCCACAAAATTTGGGGTTCCCCCTACCTGACCGCCCCCCCCCCCAAAATTTGGGCACCCCCCCAAATTTGGGGTCCCTTCAGTTCCTCCCTGTCAATTTTAGTGTCCCAAATTTTTGGGATTTTTGGGACCCCCTCCCCATTTTTGGGGTTTGGCCCCTCCTAAAATTTGGGGTCCCCCCCCTACCTGAGCCCCCCTCAAATTTGGGGTCCCTTCAGTTCCTCCCTGTCAATTTTAGTGTCCCAAATTTTTGGGATGTTTGGGACCCCTCCCCATTTCTGGGGTTTGGCCCCTCCAAAAATTTGGGGCCCTCCCCCTACCTGACCCCTCCCAAAATTTGGGGTCTCCCCCCCTACCTGACCCCCCCCAAAATTTGGGGTCCCCCACCACCTGACCCCCCCCAAATTTGGGGTCCCTTCAGTCCGTCCCCCCTCAATTTTAGTGTCCCAAATTTTTGGGATTTTTGGGACCCCCTCCCCATTTTTGGGGTTTGGCAATTCCAAATTTGGGGTCCCCCCTACCTGACCCCATCCCCCCAAAATTTGGGGTCCCCCCCCCTACCTGAGCCCCCCCCCAGCTGCCGGGGGGTGACAAACGGGGGTCTCAGCACCTCGAAGCACAGGAAGAGCTCGGCCAGGAAAGCCCCCACGTTCAACTGGGGGCACAAAGGGGGGGTCAGGGGGGGCTCCCAGTATGGACCAGTATCCCCCAGTGCCTCCCAGTTCCTCCCAGTTTAACTCAGTGCCTCCCAGTATCCCCCAGTTTATCCCAGTTTCTCCCAATTCCCTCCCTCAGGGCAGCTGCCATCTTGTCCCATTGCCCTCATTCCCTCCATTCTCTCCCAGTTCACAAAATTCCTCCCAGTTTCTCCCAGTTTCCCGCAGTGTCTTCCCAGTTTATCCCAGTTTACCCCAGTTTCTCCCAGTTTCCCCCAGTTTATCCCAGTTTCTCCCAATTCCCTCCCTCAGGGCAGCAGCCATCTTGTCCCATTGCCCTCATTCCCTCCATTCTCTCCCAGTTCACAAAATTCCTCCCAGTTTCTCCCAGTTTCCCGCAGTGTCTTCCCAGTTTATCCCAGTTTACCCCAGTTTCTCCCAGTTTCCCCCAGTTTATCCCAGTTTCTCCCAATTCCCTCCCTCAGGGCAGCCGCCATCTTGTCCCATTGCCCTCATTCCCTCCATTCTCTCCCAGTTCACAAAATTCCTCCCAGTTTCTCCCAGTTTCCCCCAGTGTCTTCCCAGTTTATCCCAGTTTACCCCAGTTTCTCCCAGTTTCCCCCAGTTTATCCCAATTTCTCCCCAGTTCCCTCCCTCAGGGCAGCCGCCATCTTGTCCCATTGCCCTCATTCCCTCCATTCTCTCCCAGTTCACCAAATTCCTCCCAGTTTCTCCCAGTTTCCCGCAGTGTCTTCCCAGTTTATACCAGTTTACCCCACTTTCTCCCAGTTTATCCCAGTTTCTCCCAGTTTCCCCCAGTTTATCCCAATTTCTCCCCAGTTTCCCCCTCAGGGCAGCCGCCATCTTGTCCCATTGCCCTCATTCCCTCCATTCCCTCCCAGTTCACCAAATTCCTCCCAGTTTCTCCCAGTGTCTTCCCAGTTTATCCCAGTTTACTCCAATTTAACCCATTTTAACCCAGTTCATCCCAGTTTTCCCAGTTTCTCCCCAGTTTAACCCAATTTCTCCCCAGTTTCCCCCTCTGGGTGGCCGCCATGTTGCCCCATTGCACTCATTGCCTCCATTCCCTCCCAGTTCACCAAATTTCTCCCAGTTTGCCCAGTTTATCCCAGTTTCTAAGATATTATCCCAGTTTACCCCGGTTTCTCCCCAGTTTCCCCTGGTTTCTCCCCAGTTTATCCCAGTTTAACCCAGTTTCTCCCAATTCCCTCCCTCAGGGCAGCCGCCATCTTGTCCCATTACCCTCATTGCCTCCATTCCTGCCCAATTTGCCAAATTTCTCCCAGTTTATCCCAGTTTCCCCCAGTTTCTCACAGTTTCCCCCAGTTTATCCCAGTTTCTCCCAGTTTCCCCCAGTTTATCCCAATTTCTCCCCAGTTCCCTCCCTCAGGGCAGCCGCCATCTTGTCCCATTTCCCTCATTGCCTCCATTCCCTCCCAGTTCACCAAATTCCTCCCAGTTTGCCCCAGTTTCTCCCAGTTTCTAAAATTTTATCCCAGTTTGTCCCAGTTTCTCCCACTTTAACTCAGCTTAACCCAGTTTGTTCCAGTTTAACCCATTTTATCCCACTTTAACCCAGTTTCTCCCAGATTAACCCATTTTCTCCCATTTTAACCCAGTTTAAACAGTTTCTCCCATTTTAGCCTAGTTTCTCCCAGCTGAACCAAGTTTCTCCCACTTTAGCCCATTTTCTCCCATTTAAACCCAGTTTCTCCCAGTTTCTCCCAGTTTAACCCAGTTTTTCCCAGTTTAACCCAGCTTCCCTCAATCCCTCCCAGTTGCACTCAATCCCCACCCAGTTTAATCCAGTTTCTCCCAGTTTAACCGTTTCCCCCAATCCCCACCCAATTTCTCTCAGTTTCTCCCAGTTTAACCCCAATCCCTGCCCAGTTTAACCCAGTTTCTCCCATTTTAACCTACTTTAACCCATTTTCTCCCAGTTTCCCCCATTTTCTCCCAGTTTCTCCAAATTTCCCCAATTTTCTCACACTTTAACCCATTTCCCCCCATTTTTAACCCATTTTTTCCCAGTTTCTCCCAGTTTCCTCCGTTTTCTCCCACTTTAACCCATTTTCCCCCAGTTTAACCCATTTTGTCACATTTTCTCCCAGTTTTCCCCATTTTCTCCCAGTCTTCCCCATTTTCTCCCAGTTTCCCCCATTTTCTCCCAGTTTCCCCCATTTTGTCCAAGTTTCTCCCATTTTCTCCAACTTACACCCATTTTCCCCCAGTTTTTTAACCCATTTTCTCCCAATTTCCTGCATTTTCTCCCAGTTTCCCCCATTTTCTCCCACTTTAACCCACTTTCCCCCAGTTTTTCACCCATTTTCCCCCAGTTTAACCCGTTTTCTCCCATGTTCTCACCTTGAGGGCGGGCGCCATGTAGAGCAGGTCCTCCACGGCCAGCGGGCAGCGCGTGCGCAGGTGCCGCGCGCCGAACTCGCGCACCAGCCCCAGGTTGTGCAGCCGGTCCGGCAGCGCCAGCGGCGCCCCGAGGCGGATTTCTAGAAAATTCCAGAGAGGAAAAAAAAATATATATGGGGGTTACACCCCAAAAAAACCTCCAGGAAACTCCAAATCCATGGAGTGCACCCTTTATGGGATTTCCCCGTATCCCCCATTGGGATACTCCCATTAGGGTCCAAATTTTCCCTAAAATCCCTCCAAAATCTTTCAAAAATCCCCCTAAAATCCCCCAAAAACCCACCAAAATGCCCCTAAATCTCCTCAGGAACCCCCCAAAATTCCCTAAATCCCCCCAAAACTTTCAAACCCCCCCAAAATACTCCTCAATTTCCCAACCCCCCCAAATAATTCAAAATCCCCATCAAAACCCCCATCAAAACCCCCCAGAAACCTGCAAAATCCCCCAAAGTCTTTCAAAAGCTCTCCCAAAATCGCCCCAAAATCCCCCCAAACATCCCAATATATCCCCAAATCCCCCCTAAATCCCCAAAATCCCCCCCAAACCCCATCTCGGATTGGTACAGTCCAACCACAGCGCCCCTAGCGGGGGCTCCCCCCGCTTTTTATGGGACGCCCAAAAAAACCCCAAAAACCCCCAAAATCTTTCAACCCCCCCCTAAAATCCTCCCAAAACCCTTCAGAGACCCCCCAATATCCCCCCCATTGAGACCCTCGCCATGGTACCACCCGATTTCCCTACGGAACCCCCCCGGGTCCGCGCCCCCCCCCCCTCCAGATTGGTACAGTCCAACCACAGCGCCCCTAGCGGATCCCTATGGCAGCACCCCCCCCACCCTCAAAAAAACCCCAAAAACTCCTAAAATTCCCCCCAAAAAATCCACCCTTACCCTCGAGGCGGAGGGATTGGGGGCAGTAGAAGTGGATGGCGGCCGCCAGGACCCCCCCGCTGGCCAAATCCTGCAGCCCCCTCACAGGAGGGAATGGGGGGGGCGCCGGAGCGGCTCCTTTGTCCTTCCGGTACCGAATCTTGGCGGGAAAATCGTGAGGGGAGGAGGGGGGGGTTAAGGAGATCCCCAAAAATCCCAAAACCGCCTCAAACCCCCTCAAAGTGGAAGGGTTCCCCCAAAAAATAAAAAAGGGGGTTTCAAAACCCCCAAAACCGCCCTAAAAGTGGAAGGATCCCCCCCAAAATAGCCCCAAATTCACCCCCATAGAAAAGAGGACCCCCCCCCCCCAAATAATGAAAATGGTGCAGTCCGCAAAGCAGCCTCAGGTTGGGGACCCCAAAATTGGCCAAAATCACCCCAAAAATAACAAAGGGGGGGGGTCAAATAGGGGGAAACACCCCAAAATTACAAATGGGGGGTCCCCAAAATCCTCCCAGTTTGGGGAGGGGTTGGGGACACCCCAAAAGTATCAAAAGGGGGACCCCAAACCCTCCCAAAATGAGGGGGTTCCCTTAAAAAAGGGGCAAGGTGACCCCAAAATCCCCCCCGGGATCCCCAAATCTCCCAAAATCCCCCAAAATTCCTCCCACCCCCCCAAAACAGGCGCATGCAGGGGAGGGGACCCCAAATTTTTTGGGGCGACCACAATTTTTGGGTAGGCTCACCCTAAAAACCCCTTTAAAAACCCGAAAAATGCCCCAAAATTGGGTTTTAGGGCGGGATTTTTTTGGGGGGGGAGTCCAGGATTTTGGGGAGGGGTTTGGGGGTACCCGAGGGGGAGAAAAGGGGGTGCCCCCTCCCCAAATTTTGGATTTTTTGGGGGGGGGTCCTTACCACCGGAGGTTTATTCCCCGATTCTTTCAAACAGAAGGCGATGGCGTGCTGCGGGAAAAACAGAGTCAGGGGGTCCCCAAAAACCCCCCCGGGGAGGCCGAAAATAAAAAGGAGACGCCCAAAAATGGAAAGAGCACCCCAAAAAATGGGAGGGTAGGGAAAATTTGGGGAAAATAAGCGGGAAAATGGGGAAAAAAAGAGGAGAATTGGGGAAAATTGAGAGAAAAAATGAGGGAGAAATGGGAAAAATGGGAAAAAAAAGAGGGGAAATGGATTTAAAGAGGGAAAAGAAGGAAAAAAGACCCCAAAAATGGAAAGAGCGCCCCAAAAAATGCGGGGTAGGCAAAATTTTGGAAAAATGGGAAAGATTAGTAAAAATCGAGGATAAAAGGAGGGAAAAAATATTTAAAGAAAGAAAAAAGGAAAAAAAAATCTGAAAATTGTAGAGGGGGTGCCTAAAAATTGGGAGAAGGGAAAACTTGGGAAAAATTGGGGAAATTGGGAAAAACAGGGGAAAAAATTGGAAAAAATTGAATTAAATGGGGGGAAAATGTAACAAAAAAAAGGAAAAAAAGGGGTAAAAAAGGATTTAAAAAGGGGAAAAAGGAAAAGAAACCCTAAAAATGTGGATGGGAACCCAAAAATTTTAAAAAAACTACAAAAAACAAAACAAAACAAGAAAATAAATCCTAAAAAAAAGTCCAAAATAAGGGTGGTGGTGGTGTGCAAGCCCCGCCCCCTCATTTGCATGCAGCACACTTCGTTTGCATGCCACGCCCTCTCATTTGCATGCCCCGCCCCCTCCCAGAGTTCGACGCAAGACACAGAAAAGGGGGGGGAGGAGCTGGGGGGGGACCAAAAAACCCAAAATTTGGAGGAATTTTTGCCATTTTTTTGCAATAAAAATTTTTATTTTAATTAAACTTTTTTTCCAATTTCTTTGGAATTTTTGCCTTCTTCTAATTTTTAAAAAATTTTAATTTTTAATTTTTTTTTTTATTTTCTTGGACTTTTTTTGAATTTTTTTGAACTTTTTGCGGATTTTTAAAAAATTTTGTTCAATTTTTAAAATTTTTTAAAATTTTTTCAAATTTAAAAAAAAATGTTTGAAAATTGTTCAAATTTTTTTTGAAGTCTTTGAAATTTTTTTTTTTTTCTTGGATTTTTTTTTTTTTTTTCTACATTTTCTGGATTTTTTTTTTTTTT